CTATCCCCACCCAAGACCTGACTCCTACCCGCCCGCTACCCTCGGCACTGGAAGAGGCACTGGGCAACCACCCCTTCCGTGCTGGGGACACAGGAAATCCAACAGAGGAGTGGGAAGCAAAGAACCACAGTGGGAAGCCCACTAATTCCCCTGTCCCTGAACGGAGCTTCCCACCCACCACAAAGGTACTGCACCTGTTCTGCATGCTATGCTGGGAGGCAGAAAGAGTGGCAGGGCTGCTGTTTCCCACATCCTCCACTGCTCTTGTGAGCGGAGATGGGAAGAAACATCACCCCACCCCATTTTCGAAGAATGAGCTCCCAACCTGCCTGTTGTGGTCATCCTGCATGTGTTTGGTTTCTGCTAATGTTGAAGTACTATACAGTATGGTGAATTGCCTGTGGTACTTGTGATGAGCAACAGTGTATTTATGTCTGTTGGTTTCTTTTGGCTCCTCTTGGCTGGTATGGGCTGGTAAGGTTCAATATAGTACTGTGTTAATGAATAACCAGAGCTCAGTCACGGCCGGTCACTTTTTGATATAAGCTCAGAAAATCTTGAATATGGGAAATGAATCCCCAGGTTAACAGGGGGAAACGAGGGGAAGATAAGTAGTAGAGCAGTATTAAGATCTTGTAAATGAAACGATAACACTGTCCAGTGCAGTGTTAGGACATTACAATGCCATTTTCTATGGAGTTAGCCAACTACATTGGCTTGAAGTATAATACCCAGAAATTTCTGGCCAACTTCCAGCTCCAGAAAAAAAAAAAAAAAAAAAATGAAGACAGAGAGTTCCTAGAAATCTCCAGATTTACTATATACAGACTAGGGATTTTTTTTTTTTCTTGGATGTCAGGAGGCTGAACAGTGAGCTTTGTCAAAAAGACATATTTCTTATTAATTGTTCTTAATCCAAAGACTATTTTGGAAGAGGTAATCCCCAAGGAAGATATGGAGGTTTGATCCCATGGAGAGACAAACAAAATATTCCTCTGCTCCAGTGGCCATGGGGCCAGGCTTGAATCAGAGCTAAAGCAGCTCATATCAGCTAAGGGTAGGAGCTTAGAGAGAGGACAGTCAGTAGTACCTGATCAGTGGTTTTTATTAACCTGCCCTGCTTGGATTTGAGTCCCGGCATGAAAAACAGAATAAGCTTTTCAGAGCATGTGGGAAAGCTTGGAGGAAGGTGGGAATGAAGAAAGTGCCAGATGCCAAAAAGGCTGCAGCTTCTGGCAGGGGACTCTCAGAGGGACTCCCTCTGGACCTCTGATGGGTCCTGAGCCCTGCAGTTCTGACAGAGAGAAGTCTATCTGTTCCAGGGAGGTCTTGTCCCAGAGCCCAGCCAGGAGCAGGTTCACTGGGGGCTGAGTTAGCCTGGCACAGAGGGCCATATCCTTCTTGTGAGTGCCCCCTATCAAGATGGGCAGCAGCTTTTCCTCAACAAATTCGATTCTACAAGCATGGATTGAGCACAAGCTTTGTGTCTCTATGTGAGGGGCAGAGGGGAGCAGTGCTGAAGGAGACACACAGGAAATTGGCATACCTGTGCTCTCTAAGACTTTGCCATCTGAAGGATGAGCCACTGTCTGGCCAGCTATAAAATGGCACAGGTTTTAGTTTAGTTTTGTTTTTGTTTTTGTTTTTGTTTTTGTCAGCAGCTACCTTTATTTGGGCCAGACACAGGTGTTAGACATTCCCATCAATCAGACCAATATGGCTTATGAGCAAAACAGATAAAAAGAGGCAGGACCAGTTACCATTTTCCATGTGTTCACAGGGTTTTTATTTTTGGTTTTTGAGCTGGCCTTGAGTACGAATTTAGAGAAAGCTAAGGAACACCAATGAAAAGGTCCTGTATTTACCCAATAGACATGTCATGCCCAGCTGCCCCTCTACTTAGAGAACAAAGCAGGAATGATGATGAAACTATCAGGGAAGGTGAAGTTTTCCAACAGAAAGCACACTTCCAGATCAGGTTTGAGACACCAGATCTCAACGCAGGACTTGTGCTCTGGGAAAGATGCATTCTAACAGAAGGTTGAAGGCACCTTTGCAGAGTAAAGGGCTTAATGAGCTGAGCTTTGAAGGATGGCAATACATGGAGGGTGGGAGGAAGGGCATCGAAGGTACAGGGAATGTAAAGATGGTAAGGAGGAACCACCCTGGGTTTGAATCCTGACTCTGCCACTAGCTGGTGACTCTGGTCATGCATTACTTCATCTGTCTGAGCCTGGGTGTCCTCGTCCCTAAAATGGGAATGCTAATGGCACCTACCTGTTATGAGGATCAAATGGATTAATACATGAACTCATTCGAAGTTAATACTTAAGAGAATGGCAGGCACGTGGTAGGTGCTCAGTAGACATTAACTATGATCAGTGACAGATCAGGATACAAGAAAATTTGGGTGTAGCTGCAAACACGAGATTGGAGGTAAACTCTGCAAACTTTTGAGTCGGAGTCAAGATTCAAAACAGGATCCAGCTTTCTCGGATTCCTCCAAGAATCACGAAGTTCCCACTGTTAGTTCCCCATCAGAGCACAGGGAAGGTTAAAAATTCCTCGACACGAGGAGCCTCTGAAACCTGGACCCTTGTGTCTTAAATGACATCAAAGCCAGGGCTATTCCTGACTTGAAGGCCAGGGGGCTGCTGTTTTGGTGAGCTTCATCCTGCCCATGCCAGCACTTTGGCCCTTGTACCGCTGCCCCTGCCTCATGGCATGCTCCGAGAGAGTCGTCACCTGTGCTGCCGCAGGAGGCGTGGGTGATCCCATGTCTGCATCTGCACCGTCAGCTCAGCCTCCAGCAGGCACCAGGTGGTGGAAACAACCACTTGTGTCAGCGTGGCACACGTGCCTGCCACATCACACACGCCAGAGGAAGGTTTTCAGGGCCATGCCTGCTGCCCAGGCACTGTTCTGTGTGCCCAGCATACTACTAAATCCTTCATTTATTCATTCAGCATGTTCAGTGAGCACCTACTAAATGCCAGACACTATGCCAGGCGCTGGAGAACCACCACAAAATGGGCAGCCCAGTCCCTGCCTGAGACCATCTGGTGAGGAGGACATATAAGTAAGCAGGAAACTACCACGCTACCTGGGGGGAGATGGGGGAACACAGGTACTGTAATGAGCTGGGGTGGAGAGGAAAAGCTCAAGGGGTGCCTTATGAAGGCAGTGACACCCAAGATAACACCTGGGCAGGTAAAGCAGAGAGAGGAAAGAGCATATACATAAATCAGGGCCAGAAAGCCTGGCGTTTTGGAGGCTAAAGTGAGGCAGAGCCGGGAGGGTGAGGGGTGAAGGATGAAGTTGCAAAGGAAGGTGAAGAGACTCATGAAGGACCTTGCAGGTGAAGCTCAGTAGTCAGCGGGGACCCATGAAGAGTACGGGCAGAGCTGTGACCTGAATCGATTTGTCTTGTCCAAGGTGATGGAGTGTGTTAGAGCAAAGCAGACAGGTTGCATCGGCTCTCCTGGATGCTACTCTTACTGGTCCTCACCGTCAGTCTTTGAGCCTCTGTAACCACCCACCAGGGACAGCAGATGCTTTGTGTGTAGTCCAGGGGATGGAATCGTGGCCGGAAGAAATAGCCTTTAGGGAGAGAGGAGGCTGGATGGCATCCGTGACCACTGAGAGAGAACGTTGAAAGTGTATCCTCTGAGTGACGGTGGCTGCTGGCGCCCCTGTAACGAGGCTCTGGCTCAAGTCTCTGATTTCTTAGAGCCACCCAGTAGTTTCTGTGGCCTCAGAATGCGCTGTGGCCAATGAACTTGTCTTTCTGCTGAAGATCACACCCTCAGCACCTCCAACAGGGTGAATGAACCAGGCGGGCTCGGCATGTGCATGATGTGAATTTGCGTGTGTGTTGACGTGCCCTGGTTGACCTGGGCCACCCCCACCACAACTTCACATGGGTGTCTTTTAAACTAACCCTTGTAGACATTTTGCCCAAGCCCACAGCCTCCACGAGGCCCTGGTGTGTCCACCATCTCCAAACCTGTCATGGTCCACCAGGAGCCCAACTTCATCTACAGGCCAGCTGTGAAATCCGAGGTCCTGGTAAGCCCCTTCCTTGGATCCTCTCCAGGGCATCTCCTGAGACAGAGACAAGAGCTGTCTCCTCTGGGTTCTGCTGCCTCTGGAGGGAGAGTTAGGTGGGATACAAACGCACATTAAGTGCCAGCTCCTGACTTCTCCTTGGCCAAGAGGTGAATCCACACGGGTATAAGCCAGGGTTGACAGGACCAGTGAAATTCCTCTTCCTCACTTGACCAGACGGCCTGGAGCTCCATCTAGAAGCGATAATGACAACAGCTCAGACTTATTGTGAATTTACTGCGTGTCAGGATTCAGTGTGTCAGGATACTGAGGCATAGAGGGGTTAAGTCGGTTGCCCAAGGCAGAGCAAGATCTTACTACTTACTCCAGAGTCTTTTAGACTCCACAGCTCAAGCTCTTACCTACGTTGCCATCTTGCCAAACCGACAGTGATTCCACCGGCCCAGGCCTCTGCCCCTAAAGCCTGGCGTGGCATGGTGCAGAAGGCCCTCAGGTGGAAAACTGGCCAAAGTGGATCCCCTCAGTTTCTCCAACTCGTCGCTCACTCCTCACTGGACTGGGAGTGTGAGGCGTGGTCCTGAGGGGTGGGGGCAATAGAGTCTGCCCACTCCCAGTCACCTGCGGCTGACCCATGTGTAACCCTCATGTCCCAGGGGTACCAGGCACAGACTGGACTCCCACCCACAGTGAGAAGAAAGTCATGCCAGAATTTTTCTTCCCCTTTCAAGGAAACCCTATCCGAATGTCAGGGCAGGACAGCTCAGATACTTATTTTGAGCTTTTGCTGTCCTGTCAGCTTCCCAAAGATCAAAGTTCATGCCCCTGCGATAACCTGCTGATGCATCCATGTCGCATTCTCTGGCTGGTGACAACCAGTGGCGTCTGCTTGACTTGAACTGGGCAGCTGCTGCGTCTGGGGGCATCGGGCAGGCCCCTGACATAAATCAGGCTGTGTCTATTTGGGGAGGGAGATTGGCAGGGCAGCCCCAGGCTGGCAGACCCAGGGTTTGGCACCAGAGGGCAGACGAGACCTATTGGTAACGTCCAGTGTGGAACTTTCTATTTTTTTTTTTTTTTCTGGCAGCCACAGGAGATGTTGAAGAGGATGGTGGTTTATCAGACCGCGTTCAGACAAGTAAAGCGATACCTGTCGTGTGTCTGTAGTCCTCCCCGCCACCCCCATCCCTCCCACTCTGACTTCTCTCGCTGCTGGGAGTGCCAGTTGGCTCTGAAGCAGCCCCAACTACCATCTGCCAGAACCTCAGGCCAGAGCTATGTTCCTGTTGCCTGCAGCCAGGAGTTGGGAACGGTCTCAATCAGGAGGGGACCCTGGCTTTATTAGACCCCATCCCCAAGCTAAGAGCAGCAGGACCTTGAGGGCTCTGCTCTTTTGCTACTGTTTGTTCAAAGAGGAGCAGGCAGAGGGAACCCTCAGAGGGTCACCGAGGCCAAGATGGGCCCTCGCTGCAGCCCTAGGAGAGAAGAAAGGGGGGCCTGAGGTGTCTCCCTGTCCCTCCCCTGTCTTGTCCCCTCAAGGCAGATCACAGCTGTACGTGGCACTGGATCAGTCAGGAAGGATGTGGTAGCCCAGATCCTCCACCTGCCTGGAGTGTTCCTGTGCACAAGGATATGGACGTTTTTCCCCAGCCGAGCAGTGGTATCAGACAGGCAACCACTTATCTTCCCCCCTCCTGGAAGCTCATATTCACAGAGCCAGCCAATGGATTGGCTGTGTCACCACCAGTGAAAGAGATCCCAAGACAGAGAAAGACCTTGCAGCCAACCTCACCGATAACCCGCCACAAGACCGCAGGCTGATTTGACTACAGGCAGAGCAATACAAGAGGGAGGTGTCAGCTTCACAGTGAGACCTGGGAGTCTGCAAAGGAGGCTGCTCCCAGCCCAGGCCTGGGGAGTGACAGGCGACAGCTAACAAGGTGTCAAGCACAGTTTCTAAATACGTTATGTATCTGAACTCATTTAATCTTTATAGCAACCCTAGGAGGTAAGTGCAATGATCACCTCCATTTTGTAGATGAGAAATTGAAACAGAGAGGTTAGGAAACATGCCCATGATGGCACAGCTACTGTCAGACCCTGGAGTTGCATCCAGGAGGTCAGGCTCCACAGTCAGGCTCCTACCTGCTACACCGTCCTACCTCTCGAAGCACTGTGATTATGAGACAGATATTTAAAGGCCTTGTTGTTTAGGGTACAGACAGCTCTCAAAGAGAGAGAGGCTGGATGGTGAGAAGCCCAAGGACCTAGACTGGACGTCAAACCCTTGCTCCACCACCCCCTGGCTGGATGACCTGGGGCATAAATGTCAGCTTTCTGGGCCTCAATTTCTCCATCTCTTGGATGAAGGGTTGCCCTCCCTCTTCAAGGGCTGACCAGCTGTAGTGGCTTATAAGTCTATGATCTGAACTCAAGACACAAATGCTTGCCATCTGGCCATCCTGAGAGCAGATTCTCACAGGGAGGGAGAAGGGGAAGCCCATAGCCAGCACTGCCCAGTTTTCCAGAAGAAATAGCTAGAAGTGGTCTGGGTCCTCAGTGAAAGAGCACTGACTCCATATCCTGCCTAGTGACCTCTCCCACCCCTGGATTTGCCGCATCCCTTCCTCTGTTTGCTGACACCCACAGACTGACCTGGGAGTGGCCTCCGAGCTGGGCCAGACTCCAGACTCCCAGGCTCTTGGGGGCTGAGCCTGAGCAATGAAGACTCATGAGGAGGGAGGGCAGATTGATGCTCAGGGAGTTTGGGCCTCCCTGTCTGCTGATGCTTGTTCCTCGTCTTGTGCCCAGAACTTGTTTGCTGCATGCTGGGCGTAGAGAGGGCAGCGGCCTCTCCATGATGCTGGCCACAGGCCTGGGGGGGGGGACACTTGGTGTGGCCTAGGAACTGTGTGCTGGGGGTGGCTCCATGTAGTCTAGCAGGGCCTGTGTGGGCCCTGCCACTGGGCCTCTCTTCTGCTCCCACCTGCCCGTGGGGATGAACTGTGGCTTTGCTGCTCTAGGACTCAGCGTATCTGGACCCTCAGTCTGTGGACCCTGGGCTCCCACTCTCTGCGTGTGATTCCTAGGAAGGCAGTGTGTGCTGATTTTGTCCCCCATCTTCCTTCTTACCAGCTTGTTTCTACCCTTGGGGACGTTGTTCCCACAGCCCTCCCCAAGCCAGAGCTCCTGAGCTATGTCTCCTTCATCCTCCCCTGGCTAAGATTCTGGGGAGAACTCTTACATTCTAGATAAGCATTACGTAAAGAACAGTGCTGGGCATGGGGCAAGCGCAGACACCCCTGTTCTTCCTGGAGCCTGACATCCCTTTCTCCCCTCCCCCCCAATCATCTTGTGGCCAGATTCCCCAGGGAGAGCAGCCTCTTGAGCAGTGTTGTCTTTCTTTGGGGTCAGAGCACTCGGTGGAGACAAGCTGGGCTTCATCCCCAGAACCTGAACCTGGTCTCTCACGGGCACCCGGAGGAACTCGGATAGGACCTGAATGCCTTGAAGCTGTGGGCAGATGATACCTTTGGCAAGGCTGACACTGGGTGCTCAGACCACCTGAACATCAGTGGGTGCCGCTGCCAGCTCCAGACGCCCACCCCACTGGAATGGTGCAGGGTGCAGGGTCCAGGGCTGGGCTCCTTCAAACGCTGTCATAGCTTCCTGCTTCTCCCCAGGCAGAGGCGCTCTGGCTGTTGGGGTTTCCCGCCTCCTCCCTGCATCTGCATCCAGGCCACATCTGGCCCCCCACGCTCTCCCCTGCCTCTGACCCATTCCCGTCTTTCCCTCTGCCTTAAGCTTGTTTCCCACAGCGACCCTCAGGGAACTCTGCTCTGTGGCCCTGACACCCTCCCTTTGCTTCCAGGATTTCCGGAAATATGAGGAAGATTTTGACCCCTACTCCATGGTGAGAAGATAACTCTCCTCCCTTGGGGAGTAATCCCAGGAGTGGGAGTGGGGGATTACGGTGTGTTCAGTGATGGTACATTCTGAGCCTTGGGGGTCCTGGGGATAAAGTGGGGCAAGTGAGGAGCCCCAAGGATCCCCAACTGGTCTTTGGGGGTGAAGGCTCCTTTCAAAACAGCACTCTGGTGTGACCCACAGGGCTGGTGTGACCCCCAGGGCTGGTTGGGGCCACAGTTTCACATGCTGAGCCCTATGACCAGGTGCTGCGTGGTTTGCTGGGTGGCACATCCTCACCCAGCCCTCACGGAATTCTCACAAAGAGTGGATATGGGATCTGCGTGGCCACCTCTGTGTGTGTGTGTGTGTGTGTGTGTGTGTGTGTGTGTGTGTGTGTGTATCCATGTGGCCGCCATGAGGCCTGGGACCCCCCCCCCCCAGTTGAAGACCGATGGGTGTGGGGCTGGGAAGGGTCCCCTTGTCCATGTACTTTGTGGGGCCCCACCGTTACCCTCCAGGCAAACTCACAGCTTCCAACTGTCTGTTCCCTCTAGTTCACCCCAGAACAGATCATAGGGAAGGATGTCCGCCTCCTGCGCATTAAGAAGGTACGTGGGCACGTGAAAGTCAGGCGGCCACCACCCTTCTCTGCCCCAGCCCCTTCCCATCTCGGTCCCCTGCTTCTACTCTTGAAGAGACTCCTGGGCGACTCCTCAGATCCCGTTTCTTCTTCTTTCTCCACTGGGAATGTCCCCTCCAATGGTGGGACCACACACCCAGGTCCCACTTAGTGTCCCTACCCCCTTTTCTCCCTGATGGCACTGTCATTGGCCCCGTGGCTTCTCTTGCCCTCTCTGTAGCCCTGTCAAGAGGCCCACAGGTGCCCACAGGCTGCTGTCTGCGTGGATCCCTGAGACCTGTTTTTTTCTCTAACCAGGAGGGATCCTTAGATCTGGCCCTGGAAGGCGGTGTGGACTCCCCAGTCGGAAAGGTGGTCGTCTCAGCTGTGTATGAGGGGGGAGCTGCTGAGCGGCATGGTGAGTGGGGACCAGCTATGCCCCAGTTTGGGGATGGTGTGGTGGTATACAGGTCCCCTCAGGAAAGCACACAGCTGCCAACTTGGGGGGGCCGACAGTTGCTCAAGAATTCCCCACCATCTGAATGGGTCCATCTATCCACTGAGTCCCACATGTTGCCCGTGGGCATTTGATAGTGCCAGGGCTATGGGTATACAATGAACCAGACTCCACGCTGCCCTCCAGGGGCTCCCCATCTAGTGGTGAAAACATGCTCAGAATTGTCTCATTCTGGCAATAACAGTGCAGCATGCTAAGAGCTGACAGAGGAGTGGGGGCGTGGAGGGAAGTTGTGGGATCCTGAGGGGCCCCTAACCCACCAAGGGAAGGCTCCCTACAAGCATGATACCTGAGCTGAGCCTTAAAAGATAAGTCAGTGTTAGCCTTATGATGATGGGAAATAACTTTCCAGGAAGAGGGGACAGCACATGTAAAAGCGAGAAAGAAACTATCAAAACCTTCCCTGTTCTTTTAAAAATAAGGGCCAACAGGGGCGCCTGGGTGGCTCAGTCGGCTAAGCGTCCGACTTCGGCTCAGGTCATGATCTCACAGTTTGTGAGTTCGAGCCCCGCATCGGGCTCTGTGCTGACAGCTCGGAGCCTGGAGCCTGCTTCAAATTCTATGTCTCCCTCTCTCTCTGCTCCTCCCCTGCTCACGCTCGGTCTCTCTCTCCTTCAAAAATAAATAAAAACATTTAAAAAATTAAAAAAAAAAAAAACAAGGGCCAACATCTGTCAAGAACTCCCCATGCACCAGATGCCATTCTAAGTACCTGCACCTATGCCATCTAAAGTGTTCACGTGTATTAACTCATTAATCCTTATGACAACACCGAAAGTAGGTACTGTCATTACTTTCATCTTACAGCTTAGGGAACTGAGGCACAGAAAGGTGAAATGCTTGTTCAAGGACCCATGGCTGGCAAGTGGTGGAGGCAGGACTTGAACCCAAGCAGTTTTGTCATTTTGCTTTTTCTTGCCTTAAAGCCACTCACCTGTCAGGGTCTGAAACTCATCATTAGTGATTTTTTTTTTTTTTCTAATTTTTTTTAACATTTATTTATTTTTGAGAGACCCAGCATGAGCAGGGGAGGGGCAGAGAGAGAGAAAGACACAGAATCCGAAGCAGGCTCTAGGCTCCGAGCTGTCAGCACAGAGCCCTACACAGGGCTCGAACTCACGAATTGTGAGATCATGACCTGAGCTGAAGTCGGATGTTTTTTCAACCGACTGAGCCACCTAGTGATGGCTAGGATTCAGAGCAGGAATCCCATGGTCAGATCCCTCCTGGGATGTGCTAGGCTGCAGATGGTGGAATGAAGGGTGGGTGACGACATGGGCAGGTGACAGTGATAGGACAGTCACCAGGCTGCTGGCAGCCAGGCTTCTGTTGGTTACAAAGGGGAATCCGGTTCCCACCTATGGCCCCCTGATGACCTCAGGCCTCTCACAGCCATACTCTGAGCCTTCATTTCAGCTGTGGAGTGGGGCCTGCTCAGCTAGGCAGCTGCCGTGGCCCACTGCTGCCCTCCTAGACCATTTGACACATCTCAGTACCAGGTGAATGAAGAGTTGCTGCCTGGCCTAGGAAAGACACCTGTCTACTGTGTCTGGCAGGGAAAAAGGACCAGAAAAAAATGGATGACTTTCCCGGGTCCCTCCCTTCCTTACAAAGCTCCAGCCCAACCACTGCCTTATTCCTCCTGAGGCTCCATCTTGGGTTTGTACAAAAGGAAAAAGTCACCTGTCCCCAGACCCACTGGCCAGAGGAAACTGCAGTCTGGTCCCACACTGCTTTGGACTTACCAGCAGCTGCTGGAAGTTTCTCCAGGAGCCTGTGTGTTTTAAGCCACTGCCACACCACAGTGTTCAGTAACACACACCGCATTCCTGTGGCTTCAGGCCCGCAAGGCTTCTGGGTGATCTATTTCAACATAATCCAGAGAATGTTCCGTGGACACCAGAACTGAGAGAAATCCCTTAAAAAAATTTTTTTAAGGTTCTGAAGTTGAAGATGTATGAGAAACCATGCACAATCTACCCACTTCTTGGAGAGCCACAATACATAGTAGCATGTGCAAGGCTCTGACAAGTCCTGCAGTGAGTAACTCCGCTTAGCTTATAACTCAGCTTTTCCCCAACTTATTAGACCATAGGTCATCTTATCCTGGAACACCTTTAACATCATTCATTTATTCAAGAAATATAGTGAATTCTTATTTGTATGCTAGGTATTATGGTAAGTGCTAGGGGTACTGTAGCCAACGAAAGAGACGGTCCCTGCCCTCATGGAGCAGACAGTCTGGTGGGAGGGACCATCAATCAACAGATAGATATATGATTATAAATTGTAAAAATGCTCTGCAGGAAAAGACTGGGGTGCTATGAGAGAACAATAGGAAAGACCTGCTCAAGATTGTGTGCAGGTCAGTGCAGTCTTCTCTGAGAAGGAGACATTTTATCTCAGCACTAGAAGAGAAGGGAGAGAAGGGGCAAGTGTCCAGGTGGAACAGCATGTGAAGGTTCTGGGGCAGGAAGGAGCTCAGCCCTCTCAGGGGCCCGATGCAGACCGAGAGGGCTGAAGCACAGACAGGGACAGCTCACAGAACTAGTTCATGTTTCAGATGACTTCATGGGTAACACAGGTCTGCCTCCCTCTGCAATAGTAGAGGCCTGGGCAAAGGCTGGGGTGGCAATGGTTCATCACTGGTGTCCTGATTCTACTGAGCTGGGGTGAGGGAGTGGGGACAGGGTGGGTAGGAAGTGCCCTTTGAGTAACCTAGTGGATTGTTCCCCCCATGCCTTCTGAGCCCATCTCAGAATTGAGGGGTGAGGTTCCTTCAGTGAGGGCCCTACAGTGACCCCCTGCCCCTCACCTTTGCCAAGCCCTGGGACAGGTACATGTCATGTACAGTCCAGTTGACCAATAAGCCTCATTTTCCTGCAGGTGGCATTGTGAAAGGGGATGAGGTCATGGCGATCAATGGCAAGATTGTGACGGACTACACCCTGGCTGAGGCAGAGGCCACCCTGCAGAAGGCCTGGAGTCAGGGGGTAAGAGCAAACCCCCTTCATGTCTGCCTCCCCTGCCTGCCTGCCTCAAACCCTGACCTCTGCATCCAGGCCTTATAGTCAGGATGCCCCATCCCAGGGTGGGTATCCAGGGTCCCAGAAATTCTTGGGTGACACCCATATAACACATCCAGCCAACGGTCTCAATATGACAAGATGGGATTCAGGAAAATAAATGTCAGTTCTTGGCCTTGAGTCCAAAAAGCAGGTGGCACAAATACAGACTCCAGAAGACCAGGTGTGGCACGGCCTTCTCTAAGTGCGCACTGATCAGGAATCACAGGTGCTTGGGGCTACTAGAAAGCATTAAAAGAAGTAGAGGGCCCAAAATGGAGGAGGGTCTGGTGGTAGTCTGTTCTGTGCTCGTTAGACAGCCACCTGGGTCAAGGCCACCACATAAGGTTTCCCTGGCTGTGCACTGCACAATCCGAGGGGGTGTCCTCCTACAGACTACAGTGTGGATGGTGCCCTCTCACGTTGTGCAATGCACAACCTGTGCAACTGTATGCAGGCAGCCGAGCCTGAGGTATTAAGTTCAGTGCCGAGGAAGCTGACCAGATGGGCCTGGGACCCACATGAAGGGATATGGAGAAGAGAAGATTCACGGGTAACATGATGACTGTCTTTGATTATCTGAAGGGCTACATTAGGGTAGAGGGAGCAGAAGTGTCCTCTGTGTTTCTTAAGGGCAGAACTGGATTGGATGGGGGGAGGTCCTGGGGAGAACTTTCAGTTCACTGGTAGGAGCTATATTGCATGGTAGAGGGGCCCAGTGATACTTCACTTACTTTTTATTGGATACACCCAAGCCGAGGGTGGACAATGATGGCTAAGCCAAGGATGGCAGTGATGCCATTGAGGGGATTCAAGTGTTAGAGTCAGAAAGCTAGGCCTAAAGTTCCCTGATTGGATGTGCATCAGATTGATCTAGGGAGACTGTTAAAAATACTATTTCTCAGGACCTTCCCCAGATTTCCAGGGGCATGTCTATGAATCTAGAGTTTTAAGAAATCCCCCAGGTAGATTCTCACATTGCTGCCTGGCTCTGGACCACAGATCAGCATTTGGGAACTTAGTGTCATTCAAGGGCTCATAAACCTTGCGCTCTATGATTGTGAAGTCCCAGAGATTGGAAGCTTCCCCATGGGAAGAAGGCCCCATCCAGCTGATCTTGAGCCACCAGGAATGGGAATGGAGTGTCAAGGGAAGACATGCCATCAATCCCTGAGCATGCCCCAGAGTCACAGGTCTTCTCCCCACAGGACTGGATCGACCTTGTTGTTGCCGTCTGTCCCCCCAAGGAATATGATGACGAGCTGTAAGTGTATGTGGCCCCTCGCCCTCTGCTTTCTCTTTCTCCTCCTCCAGAATCTTGGCTATCTTCTCCTAGTCTGCCCCCAGCCTTCCTCTAGCCTGAAGGATTGGTCCAAGCACACAGCTTCTAGGAGTAATTGATCCTAAAAACTCCCAGGTTAGAGAAAGCCTAGAACGAAGTCACTGTCCCCAAGCATTGTCAGTGCTGCCGCCACGACTGTCTTGTCCAAATTCTTCTTGACATATGGAAAACTGAGGCCCAGAGCTGGTCAAGATCTCAGGCCAAGTGAATGATGAAGCTGGGACAGCCTCAGCATTTCTGATTCCCCACTCAGCACTTCATCCCCTGCACCATCATCAGCTAGTTTCCACATTTCTGTGTCTTTTACTATCTGGTAGTTCTTCCTGGATACGTAACTGCATTTCCTCATGCTGAGGACCACAGGACCACAGGCTTTGGCCCCATCCTGCAGGATCTTCAGGGAGCCTTAGGCCAGTCTCCATCTTGCTCTATGATTCTCTGTATGTCTGTCTCTCGATGTATATGTCCCTTCTCTCTTACCCTGTCCTTTTCTTGCTTCCTCTGTTCCTGACCTGAATATGTGCTCTCCTCTCTTTTACTGTGTATCCATTTCCCCTCGCTGTCTGTCTGTCTCTCTGCCTCTTTGGTGTCTGGCGTCCATCCTCGTCACCTTCCTCCCCCCACCCCTGCACCCCCCCCACACACACACTTATTCCTCACCTCACTGCTTGCCTGTCTTGGTTGTGCCTGCTTGCTTCCTCCGCCCTGCACCGGCTGAGTTCTGGGTACGTCTTGGAGAAATCAAGGTCCTGTAACAATTAATTCTGGACCCAGGGCCTAGGCAGGACCCAAGACGGTTGCTAAGTGAAGAGAGAGGTCTGCTGGAGCTCTGCCTGAAAATAACCAAGCCACGTTTTGTGTTTCCTGCTCTGCTCTGCGTATGTAGCTCTTCTCTTCCCTCCTCTGCAGCCGAAAGCCCCCAGCCGGTCCGAAAGTTCCTTGAAGACCGTGCTCCCGTGCATAGACACAGGTTCCTCCTGCAGCTGGAGCCTGGCAGCCCCCCACGGTGAATAGGCAGGCGGGCTACAGGGCCCTGTCTGTCCATGCTGCATGCAGTGGCCATCTGCTGCCGGTGCTGGCAGGTTCTTTGGACAAGGCTCCATCCCTGAAGTGCCATCCAGGCCTGCTGGGGGCCACCCTGGAATTTTGTCCACCTCAAAGACCCTCCCACTCAGGGGGAGCCAAGCAGAGCCCAGTTTGTAGCACACTCAGGACCTGGGTATCCCACTCACCAGAGCCCTTGAGAACAGCCACGGGTGCTATGCAGCACCCATGCAAGCAGGGTGGGGCAGTGAGCACCATTCTCTACTGGGCACAGACAGTGCCTGACGGGCTGGGTGAGCCCAGAGGAAGTGCAGCCTGGATATCCCCCCAGAGGTGTCCTCAGCGAAATGTGCCTCCCTTCCCTGGGAACACCACCCTCTGGGAGCCCCTGCTCTACCAGGCCCCATGCTTGGGCAGAGCCAGGGCAATTAGGAGGCAATTAAGGCTGGTCCAAAGAACCAGGGTTGGCCTATCTGAGCTGTTCATGTCCTGTTGTGACTTGTCATGGCCTGAGCCCTGCTTGGACCAAACTGTCCCCTGTGCCTTCTCTCTCCCTTGGCTCCAGCTCCCTTGACAGTGTCCTCTGTGGAACACTGTGGAGCCCAGTTTGGGAATGGGCTTCCCACTCTGTGGCAGAGCTGTGCTCATGGACAGAGCTGGCAGGTGGCCATGAAACTGGTGTTTGGGGTGGCCTAAGGCCCGCAGCTGGCAGCATATGGGGCAGACTGAGGCCTGGACTTGTTGACTTTTCTGTTACAAGTTTCTCAAAACATGAGGACCTCACGCTCCCAAGACAGTGGGCCCGCTCTGCCCTGCCTTCTGGGATGGCCTCAGTGGCCCTATGTTTTCTGCCACTTGTCATGTGCTCTTTGTAAGGGACCCCACACTGCCTTCTGGTCCCCTCCTGTCTCATCCCACATATCCCTTCTGACCTCTCCCTGGCCTCGTGTGCTGTGGCTATAGCGTCTGTGGAGCTGTGTGGGGCCTGCCGTGTGCTGCCTGTTGTCAGGCCCTGCCCTGGGCTGCGTGTGCACCCACAAGGCCTGCATCCGCCTGGTCTGCCTCTTCTTCCCCACAGGACCTTCTTCTGAAGTCCAGAAGGAGAAAACCAAATTCACCCCTTGAAGCCAGCGAGCTCTGGACTCACCCTCCTGAACACAAAGCCTGGAACCAGCCTTGAGAGATGCCAGCCTGCAGGCACCCTGGAAACCTGCAGCCAGCACCCAGGGATTTCAGACTCCCACTGGCCCTAAAGTAGGGCTCCGTAAGGAACCCTGCAGGCCACTCTGATGCCCACCATGGAGGGAGGAAGAAGCTGTTCTGAAGAGGGCCCCTGGGGTCCAGACTCTCATTTCTTGCTTCCAGCCCTGTGAATTTGGTTTCTCCCAGCCCTGGGAGACTACCCACTTGAATTTGAACAGGCCCTGACTCCTGGGTTTCTTTCCCCTCCCTCTCCTCTTACTTCTGCTAATTGCTGCCACAAATCTTCCTCTGAACTCATTAACAAAATAAACTGTTTTATTTTCCAGCTTCCAGAAGTGAGTGTGGATTGGGGCAGCAGATTCAAAACTCTCAAGTTGAAAAAAAAAAGTACAAAAACAAACAAAACGTAAGGTCTTGGCCCTTATTCAAGAGTAGGACACAGGACCCAGCTCTGGAATCTGGGTCTGACATGAAGGACATGATCAAATGGCCACTAGCTGGCTTTGAGCAAGGGGGGCTGGGGCAGCAGGAGATGGGCTGGGCTGGGCTTTATGTCTCCTCAGAGAAAGATGGCGGGAAATGAAGCCACGAGATAGGGACTTTGCTCAGTTCCAGAAAGCATAGTTGTAAGCAGGAGTCCCAGAGGATTACCTTTAAGTATGGGATGCCCCAGGTTCACTCAGGGACAGCATGACCACAGCTGCTTCTCCTGAAGTCACTAAGACAGGATGCTAGCGGGGGAGGCAGGGGCAGGGGGCCTATTCTGTCCATGAAATTCCATCCAGTGGAAAATCATGGAAGGGGGCAAGAGCTTGAGGCAGGAGGGTATAAGTCCACGGGGTTGGCAGGGGGTAAGTCGAGGCCCCCCTGGTTACAGGGCCCAGGGATGCTCTCAGACTAGCTCCAGGGAAGAGAGGGGTCACCAGGGTACTCCACGACCAGGAGACATGGTGTGCCCAGGTCTCCTGAGAATTGGAAATGGAAGGTGGTTCTGATTCAAGGTGTTTCGGAGCAGCAGCTTTCTCCATTGAGGCCTCCTGTCTCTGCCGCCACTTCCCCTATGTCCTCAGAGCTCAGCTTGAGCTTGGCCATCGTCACCTTCCACCTTTTAGCTGTAGCTCCACCAAGCCACATCGGTCCCCCCTCCCCCACCCTAATCTCCATTTCCCCATTCCAGATTCCCCAGGCAGAATCTTATTGGGCCGACTTACCTGAGTGGGTGACCCTGGGGCCAGGGACCAATCCTAGTTCCAATCAGCTGAGGTTGGGCAGGGAGTGGGTCGTGACCCACCCAACATGACTGCTGAGGCAGCAGGGACTATGTGTAGCGAGTCATGTTCAATGGAAGGGGCAGAGAGAAAAAGAGAGAGAGAGAAACTGCTGGCCTTTTTGATCTTAGTGGAGACAAGGCCACAATGACCTCCTAATAGCTGGTTTCCAGAGACAGCAATCACACCGAGGAATTCTCCGTTTTTTCTTATCTGGCCTCTAACCTGGCTCTGGAGACAATTCCAAGATGAAGGTAAAAGGAGGGAGTTCATCTCTGCTGACATCTGCTGCATGCTGGGCCTGGGCTCGACCCTGGTGTCTGCCATCTCAAACTGCAATGACTGGAACTGATCCACAGCCCCCCCTGAGGAGCCTAGAGATAACAGCCAACACTTAGATGGCATTGGCTGTATGTCACGTACTGTTCTAAGCACTAAGTTCATCTGCTCCCCTTAACTCTATGAGGTAGATACCACTGTTGTCACCAACTCCATTTTATTAAGAGAAGACTGAGGGACGAAGAGGTTAAGTGACTTTTGTTACGTCACATGGGAGGAGGTAGTGGAGCTGGCATTCCAAACCCAGGCGCTCTTGCTCAAGGGACCGTACCTTTCTCCACTGTATGTTGTATGGGGCCGGGCAACCCTCACTGGAACATATCAAGTTCTAGATTGTTGTTAGAACAATTCTCCCCACACGTGAAGAACAAATAGCGTTTTGCTGTTCGGTGATGATTACTTCCTCTTGTGACCCGCAAATACTGCTGTAGAAACCTTTAGCTTGTTGATGCCTGGGATCTCAAATTCATCTCCCGCTATTCTTAGTTACTGGCACCTTAGAGTGAATGAGTTTATCAGAGCTTATCAGGACTTGATGAGTGACACAATAAAGAGGGCTTTGAGCCCCTGGTGAGAGGAGCAGGGTAGGAAGGTATGCCACTGCGCAGGGTGGGAAGAGGCAACGAAGGGAGGCCGGGGACGTGGGTGATCCAAGCCCTAAGCCATAGGTTTGTTTAGAGCAGGGAGGGTGTGTGGGCTACAACGAGCTTCAGCTTCCGTTTTTACGAGGCCTGACTCCATCTTCATTATCATCAAGCAAATCAATTCTCATGCATTGGAAAGTGGTTCCATGTTAAACCCAAAGTACTCAGCTCTCCCCAGCAGACAGTGGCATTAACCAGGTAAGAAGTGGGAAGGTCCAGAGGAAGTGTATCGAGGTGGGGCCCTAAAGCAGCTCCCGACCTTCTGTGGGGGCCATGAGGAGCTCCGCTGAAGCTAGAGTCCACCAAGGGGACTGGGCCGGACATGAGATTCCGCGTCAGTGTCCAGACAAACCCATCCAGGCCCAGGACCATGCACGGCCTACATTGCTACTTCTGTCCCGGGGCTCTGGCCAGGCAGCCACTAATCACTGATCAAAGGTGGCCCACAAGGGGAACCCCATTTGCCACCTTTGAATCTAACCTGCATCATTGGGTATTTGGGAAAATTGAGGCCAAGGAGGGGATGACTTATCCAGGGTCCACCCAAGTTGGTGGCACAGCTGCCATTTCTACTACACTGCCCGGTGGGAAAAATAACTAAAAAGGCTGGGAATTCAGGGATGCCTTTTGACTCTGAACTTTTAGCATTTTATCCATCTCATTGAAGTTGCTTCCCACAGCAAGTCCCTGGGGATACTAAGCCGGCTTTGAGCCTCTCACCTCTGCATCTGGAAGTCAGAGTAAAAGGGTCAAGTTTACAGCCTCTATGCTTCCAACACTCCCCTTTAGGGCCTGTGCGGGGCTGGGAAGCTGGTTTTCACCCATTCCAGCCTAATTCCCCAGGCTGAGATGTGGATAAGAATCTGTTTCCAGGGTTGAAAGCCCTTTCCTCCTCCTGTCCCTTCTATGACTCTTCCCAGCTCCCTGGGGCCCGGGCTGGCCATGCCTCTGTGAGAACGGGAGGGAGCAGGAATGACCCCCTGGGAAAGTCAGGTGGGGCTGGCAAAGGGAGAGGGCAGAGGGCCAGAGAGCCTGCCATAACTGTCCTCATGGGACCTAGGATCTGCAGCCTACGGACCTACCCACAGGCCTCGGTAGGAGTAAGATTGCTACTAACTTTTAGGTGTTTACTATGTGTCGAGCACTAAGTGTATAGTGATGTTTAATTATTGTAAGACATTACTAAGAGGTAGACAGACTGTGATGTTCTCTTCACTGAGGATACTGAGGCAGCAATACTTAAGTTCCATGTCTGAGGTTAAACAGACAGTAAGTGGCAGAGCCAGGATGCAGACTAGGCTCCAGAAGTCCGTATCATTAACCATCATGCTATACTACCCGATGAGAAAGAAACGACACACGGAATGTGGTTTGGGGAGGATTAGGGAAAACCCCAGTCAGAAAATAATTCCTCTATGCTTCTAACTTCTCTCTGCTTCGTGGTGTCCTTCACACTGCAGAATGAACCGGCCAAAACCTGACTCTCCTTCAAACTCTCCACGGCTGTCCATGCTGTCCTCAGGACAAGGTCACACCCCTCTGCCTGGCATTCAAAGTCCTACATTACCTGACAACTTTTCCACTCTGGTCTTTTGCTACTTGCTTCTTTCACTCACTCTGGTTTCCAGGGCCGGTCACGTTCTATCACTTCTCTGCGTCTCTGCACATGTTCACTCTACCTTGTCCTCCTCGTGCCCAGGTGAACTTCTATGCATCCTCCAAAGCCCAGGCCAATTGTAAAAGGGGGAACACTGGGCCTGGCATCGAATAAGAGCTCAGTCAGGGTGAGCTCCTGCTTCCTCCTGAGATGGACCCGTTGGGTTGTGACAGAAATCCAATTCAAGATGATCACGTCAGTGAAAAATCTAAGAGTATTTGATGTCATGTCTGGCTGGATCAAGTGTTAAAGCAGTGACGTCAGGAATCTGTTGGGCCATCTGAAATTGTCTGGGATCTTCAGAAAAACACACACACACATGAGACACAGAGAGAGATTTCAAGGAATTGGTGCACACAATTGTGGGGCTTGGCAAGTCCAAAATCTGCAGGGTAGGCCAGTAGGCTGGAGACCCAGGGAGGAGTTGATGGTGCAGCTCAAGTCTCAAGGCAGTCTAAAGGCAGAATTCCCTCTTCCTCAGGGGATATCAGTCTTTTTTCTATTAAGGTTTTCAACTGATTAGATGAGGCCCACCCACATTATGGAGGGTAATCTTCTTTACACAAAATCTACGAATTTAAGTTTACTTATTTATTTTGAGAGGGGGGAGATGCACAGAGAGAGGAAGAAAGAGAATTCCAAGCAGGCTCAGAGCTGTCAGCGCAGAGCCTGACGTGGGGCTCGATCTCACGAATTGTGAGATCATGACCTGAGCAGAAGTCCAGAGTTGGGTGTTTAACTGACTGAACCACCCAAGCACCCCAAAGTCTACTAATTTAAATGTTAATTTCATCTAAAAAATTCCCATACAGCAACATCCAGATATATCTGACCAAATGTCTGGGTGCTGTGACCTAGCCAAGTTGACTCATAAAATTACCCATCATACCATTCCTTGTCTCTACCCTCCTCTGGTTTGCTTCATTCTCAGATGAACCCTTCCCATGTGATGTCAAGATGGCCCCCAGCATTCAAAACATATTCTATAGCTGGTACAACCTCAGTGGAAAAAGC